TATCCAAATCATACGCGGCCAATTAACCCTACATAGTATTCGTATTCATTCAACCTAACTTGATGTAAGCAAATTGGCCCGAACAATGCATTTAAAACCAAAGTTTACCTACTACAATTTGAAATGATTACAAGAAAATGTTTTTTATTTCATTAACTTACACAGTTCGCCAGAAATCTTTTGAGACTACTTATAGGGCAGTAAGTACATTTAATTTGGCTCATGTAAATAGTACTGATTTTGCTTTGGAGTTTTTGATTGAATGAAATTCTTTTTTGAAATGTTAGGAGCATCTATCAGCGATATTTATCATTTCGGAAAGTCTTTCTGAAATGCCTTTTTGACGTTCTCTCGGGTGAATAATTGAAGTGGAACAATTTAGTGATAAAAACGTCTAATAGATCACTCGTAAACGAAGTTATTATGATTAATGTGCACATGCTCATTGATCCTTATGTTCTCATAAAAATAATTGTGGTTTGTGGGACTCGTAGATGATCTATGAAAGGCTATCCAGCCTGTCTAAGCATAGTCCGTACCTGAGATGTCCAAATTGGGCGACTGTCTCATTTCAGATTGTTCAAATGACTTCAGATTCATCCTCGACAGCTCCCTCGCAACTCCCACTCTCCTTCCTTCCTACACTCGGCACCTTTTCAATCCAATCCCCCCTCCCACCCCCGTCAAAAGTATAAAATTGTGTGTAAATTGTTCTTATGGCAATTTGCAAGGAGGTTTTGTTACATAAAAGTATTAACTTGTTCACTTGTTTACGCTGACACGTTTTATTACAGTTTAGAACATCAAAAACGGGCTCTTTTCCAGTTCCCCCCCTTTCAAAATACCGAGTTTTATGTTTGTTTTACGTGTTATTACGGCTAAATGCGTGATGTTACGCTGTAAAGTATGAAGAACAAATCTGTTCACAGTTGTCGATTTGTTCACCACGCCAAATTTCATTGCATTATGACAACGTTAAATAAGCTTTTCAAAATTAATTTTGAAAGGGGGGAAACTGGAAAAGAGCCCAAAAACGATATGGACACATTTTTAAAATAAATTTTCGTAAATAGTGTGTCAGACAAAATCGAATAGGTGACTGGAAAAGAGCCCTTCACTCTGATGACGAAGATTGCCAGAAGAAACAGAGATAGCACGGGGACCATAATGGACACTATTTGGACCACTTCGGCCATTGTGAAGTCATGGCCGTCGGAGAGTTCTCGGAAGTGTGCCATGTCTTCGCAGTAGTAGCCTTAAAATCAAGGAGATACTTACTGGGGACCTCAGCCTCTTCAGGGATTTGACACCCCTCTCCCTTCCAAAGTGCCCATCCTTTGCCATTATTTTCGGCACCCAATTTGTGCCGAGGTTATCTTATTTATATATGTGCATTTGGTACCAGTTAACACTAAACTTGAGGAGCTGAAGCTTCATTTCGACACGTTTTTTTTTCTTCGAAATTAGCAGGAAAGCAATGTGGTTGAGCTAAAAAAAAACGTGAATTTCTTTAACTATTCCCCCTTTTGCAAAAGGGGGAGATTTGTTACTAGGTGCAAAATTTACATTTACTTAGTTATTGATTTATTTCTTTATAAGAGTGACGAATCGTTACCAGGCACCCAGGGGTGGGGGGCTGGGGGGGGGGGGTAGTTAAAGAGATCCACAAAAGTTAAAAAAAACTAACAAAGTAAGAGGAAATTGGAACAAATCTGATGATTCTAAATTTCAAACTTCGTCCCGAACACGAACTCGTCCCATGAACTCGTCCCGAACACGAACTCGTCCCGAACACGATACGGCATTGCAACTAACTCACCAACGTAAGGCGTTTTACATGTGCATAGTACTTTAGTAGTGTTTTTGCACTTTCCCCTTCCGGAACACAACTGGTCCACGCAGACCAAGTTGGTCCTCAACAGACAGTTGTCATCCGGGAGGTCTCTGTCATTCATCCAGCCTGTCTCACACACGCACTGGTCCAGTTGACGAGAAGGAGAAGATTCGGACTGAGATTGTAGCTAGAAAAACAAAAAAACTGTATTTTTTCGAACTAATTTACATATTCTTAAACTGGTAAAAAGCACATGTAAACTCGCAGAAAATGTGCACGTAAATCAAGCATGCAAATTTTCCTTATATTACAAAGTCGGAGCCAAAAATGAGCATCCTTTTTTGGCCCAGGTTTTTGATATCATCTCGAAGATAGCCCAGTATTTCTTTTTAATGACAACGGACAGAATTTGAACTGATAGTTTCATCCAGTCTTGCATCAAAAACGGATAACATAAGTTTAGAAATGTTTCAGAAAATTAATTGCAACTAACTTGTATACATTTTCCATGCTTCCCACAAGTGTTGGCTTTGTTAAGTTTTGTTTCGTTGATTGTGCAAGAATTTTGATGTTGAGCTAGTAAATTCGAGTTTTCTTGGTTTCTATCCATTTTTCAATGACCTTTTTTATGCGGCATTTCAGTTTTTGACATCAACGACTGTAAAATTGCTCTAAGTTACTCAAACTCACGCACGTGGTCGGATGAACTAAGTTTTAACACTCTTCAAAATAAGTTCTAGTTTTGATCAGATAATTAAAGCTGCCAGACTTGAGACTTAATGCTCTCACGGCTAAAAATTCGTTTTATTTAAATCTCTCTAGAAGCGTTTTTAGCCACTGTTCAAAAACTTTCAAATTAAATTAATCAAAAGCAAGAGTGTGTTATTATTTAAATCATCAGATCATTTTTTGGTTACTATCATAAAGGCGAGTAAGAAGTTGTTGTTGTTTTTTCAAATTATGCGCCTTCTTTACCCGGGTTGAGTTGTTCGACTTGCGTTTTGACCAAACTTGGTCGAGCACACGGATCTTGTTCGACTTAAAATTCGTGGTGGAAAACAGCCCTTTCGGCCGAACAAAATTTGGATACATTGGTTGAAATCATGGTCGAAACATAGTCGAACACTAATTCGGTTCATGATCGAACGCAAAATCGAAACTTAAGTTTGATCGAAACATAGTCGAGCTCAAAGTCGAATACAATGTCTTGCCGAAACATAGCCAAACTCAAAATGTGGTCGCTACATGGTCAAACGTAGTCAACTCAAGGAATGGGCTACACATGATCTTAGACGAAAACCTGAGAAGCAATGTTTTGCGAAAAAATAAAGTTTTATAATGTTCGGAAAAACATTCAGATTTTCGTCACATCCATATTGAAGTTTTTATGAATAAAAAAATAAGATAAGACTATGTTAGAAGAAAAATAATCAAACAATTTTACTAATTGGTGACGAAAAAAATCAAGGTTGATTAATTTTTGAATTGCCTAAAAATATACAGATTCTGAAAAATATTCGGCCAAAGCATAGCCAGCTTAGGTCGAGTCGGTCGAAACATAACCCGCTTGGGTCGAACACAGTCAAACAAATTTTTGATTCAGTCGATCGAAACATAGCCGGTTTGGGTTGAAACCATCAAAGCATAACCATTTTTGGTCGAGTCAGTCGAAACATATCTCAAACAGTAAACCCAGTTAGGCAAGAAAACGCTCCAAAAATGCGCACCAATTAGCGAAATTTGAAAAAAAAAATTGAACTGATTTATTCGAGTTGTTACAGTTGATATATTTGCGTTGATTTACAAAAATTTGTTCAATGTAAATTTATTGATATGAGGCCTGCCTTTGTGTTTGAAACTTTAAAACCAGTCTCACAGATACTGCATAAAACCGAGGAACAGCTATCATCTGTTTGTAACAGTGTCGAGCTCTTCTCGCGTGAACTTGAAAAATTTGCAGCATCCAAAGGCGATACTAAAGGCATAATCCATTAGAAAAAAACCACCACGTTCTGTAATTTAGAGAATTAGAGTGTCGGAAACGCGAATTATTGGATAGAAATTTTATCTTACCATTAAGCAACCCACATCAAGCTCGGGTACTTGTTTTAGCTATCAAAAGGAAGTTTTGGTATGAACTTTTCATGAATGGCAAATTTACAACTTTTTAGGTTAATTGGAACTTGATTTGTTCTTTTTCTTCAATAACATACGGAGAAATTTGAAAAATTTCCGCAAAAAGCCACTCAAAACTTCAGAAAAAATCTATTTGCGATGATGTGGTTCATAAATAAGGTTATCTCCTCTAACTATTTAGCCATAGGGTACCTAGAAACCACCCCCCTATAAAATAGTTCAATGTATATGCAAAGGGGGGGGGGCGTTAAAGAGATCCAAATAAGGAGCTAAAGTGCTTTTGATATTGTGGTGCTTGCCTTTGCGGTCTAAAAAAAAACAAACTTTGTTTGTATTTTACTTTGAAACGTCTGATTGACCGTGATTACAACGCATTAAACAGCAAACAAAAACATTTTATTTGGTTGAAATTCTTTTTCAAATTTGATAGATAGTTTTTTAGTAGTTTCAGCAGTCAGTTTGTTAACTCAACTGTAATTTTGTCTTGTTCACTTTTTTGTTCTAGAAAGTATTCTGATCTATGTATTAACATCCACACTCAATTTCAATGTCTCTTTTCATACGTATGCGAATACTCGAGCGAACAGTTCTGGCTGTTTTTCAAGTAATTCTATTTGACTTTTTGAATACAATCGAATATTTTTTATACCATGCTAACAATGTAATAATTTTGTGTGTGTAAACAATTGAGCTTTGCATTTTGCTGTTAACGAACAGTTATAGCAAATTTTGATCTGGTTTGCTCAGTATAAAAGCAAAATTCATAAATATATTTTTTAAACTTCATATTTATCGGATTGGTCTATGACATGCAATATGCTTTCAGTTTAATATTTGTACACAGATTATGTTTATTGTTTAATTTGGAGTCAATTTGCACAGCCAAATTTAGTTTCATTTAAAAAGAGGAAATAAAAATAAATGAATGACACTTTCAAACATTTACTAAGGAAAAAATGACCTGAGTTAGTTTATATTATGCTTAACTTATTATACCATTCGCTTACCATCTGATGCGCTTTATAAAAAAACTGCTTCACAATAAAAAAATCAAACTATTTATATTTTCGATTAGATTTAGTAGTTCGAATTAGTTTCCATTATGATTATTGTTTTGATTGAAAGCTTCTGAATTAATATACTGCTACTTGTGTGCACGTTCGACAAATGACCCGAGATGAACCCTATAAGCGCCCCTGGAAGTTCGGTTGAGAGTTACTTCAACCGACGAAGGTCAACTCAGACACCCAGTTCTCATTCTCAACCGAGCGGCTCCGATTCTTTCTGGTGGCAGCGAAGCCGACTGAAGAAGAAGGCCGAACGACACAACAGCCGACACTATTCGATAGCCGAGTCCAAATTGGAGTCTCCCACAGGTTTGCTCTTTTTTAAGTTGATTATTGATGTTCAATTTTAAGGGCACGCAATTTATCAGCTTATTTAAAGATGTACACTTCGTGCCTGTCAATTACTTTTGGAAGCAGTTAAATTTAACAATTTTCATCCTGTATTCTCTAAGCATCATCTCGTAAAGCGCCTTTAACAAAAAAACTTTCTGATGTATTATTGTTCCGGCTTTCAAAGAAAACGGAATACTTATGCTCGGTGTGGTTTTTTTTATTCAGTCAATTTTCACCGATCGAAATTAAAATTTTCAACAAAATTTTTTTATACCCCATTGAAGATATTGAATTCCTGAGTTCAAATGTAAAAAGATATTTTGCCTCCAGTTTTTTTTTGTAAAGTGTTGGGGCTTTGAAAATTGCCAAGTTTGTCATGTTCTGGACTAAATTATGCGCGCTTTGAAGAGTTTATTCATAATGCTGAGAGCGTAACGCAAATTATTTATGAGTAGCGAACTATCCCGCACAACAAAATCGTTCCAAATTGGATCGAGGCTAGCTAATTGGTCGTATTAATTTCGTACGTCTCAAAATTTTCCTTTTTGATATTGTCCAAAATGCATAAGTTTTCAATATTTTTTTTCCCAAAAACTATTCGATGTAAATCAAGGGACAGTCGGAACATTCAGGGCTTTGCCCTGATATACGAGCAGTCTTGTCCAAGTTTAGATTCTATGGTGGCTTGCTGGTTAACAATATGAATTTTGAACATAAATATTTGTTGTGAGATGAGACTACGAAAAACGAAGTAATAAGAAGATTGATTGTGGTTTTTCCAACTTTTTCAAGGAGCAGCCGCACAGGTTGTTTTTGAAAAAAATATACGCTTAAGTTGCTCGTCATTTTCACATGGCTACAAAAAATTCAAGGGGATAAGTTTAAAGATTTAAAATATTGAAGCTTTATGCAACACTTGCTGAGTTGTAGTAAAATACGTATTTAAAAAAGTTATGGTATTTAATTCAATCCACATTTTACACAAAATTGAACAGTGTGTAATTGTTTCTTTTTCGTATACTTTTTCAAAATATTAGCACAAATTTTTGTTTATTTAATAGATGGTGCATTGTTTTTTATTTCTGTTCCAGCGATGGCAAAGGTCGAACCATTTATTTAATTTTCATAGCCAGGAAAAAGCTAAAGATAAAATCAAACTTAGTACATTCATAGCAGTTTTGTTTTAAAAATCTTTTTTCATAATTCTTCAAAACTACGAATGAAAATCAATTTACTTAGTTTTATTTTGTAAATATTAGTTGCTTAAACTCAATAGATTAAAAAATAAACAAAAAATGTTCTGACTTAGCAAATTTACATTTGCGATAGCAAGTGTGTTGCAACCGGGTAATAGGCGTTTTTCACGAGAACAACTTTGTTCACAGATTTCATTGTAAGTGCGTTCTTTCATGCCCACGTGCGTCCGTTCAGCTGTCTACGTTCAACGATCTATTTTGCTGATTTGATGGCTCATCTTTAGAAAAAATGTCCATCTTAGAACGTATATGATTTTGCTACCAACATATATGCGGTAAAAATTTAAATTAAATCACTTGTTTTTTTTTATTTTATCGGTTTCTTCGTTTTTGGTTAAGCTTTTGTTCCCTTAGGATCCAATTTTTTTTCAAAGGTCAAAAACGTCACTAACTTGCAACTTCAAAAAGATAATCGATTTGAAACTCAAATACCATCAAACAGATTTGTCTTTTTTTTTCGATTTGACCGTTTTCGGCTAAAATGGTAAAATGGTCAGTTTTTTAAACATTTCTGCGTTACTCACGGCCTAATCGTAATCTGAACCTACTCAAATTGACCCGCCACCCTCACATTCCCCCATTCACATTTGCCAAACACCCACATTTAAACTACTCCACTATGTTCACCCCTACGCCCACCTCCATGCTTACTAAGATAACACCAACCCCTAACCCCCAAATTTACGGTTTACCCCACTCCCCCAAGTTTGTTTACCATTGAACGGAGACGGGGGATGGGGTTACTCGGTGTAAACAACACCTATTTACCCCCTCAGCCATTTTTTTTGTTCTATCCCCCAATTTTTTTTTCACCTCGCCCACGTTCAGTAAACGGGGTGGGGGTGTTAAACTAATATAGGGGGAGGGTAAACCGAGGAGGGGTAAACTGTGTGGGGGAGCGGGCGGGGTGTAAATTGAAGAGAGGGGGGGGGTGGGAGGTAAATTGAAGAGAGGTAAACTGTGAGGGGGAACAAACTTGAGAAGGGGGTTGCTAAAAGAGGCGATAGAGTTTACGTGAACTATGGAAAAAGTAGTGAAAACTTGAATAAATAACACCTTATGTGAAAAGTAAACACTTATGAAACGTAATACGCAGCAACTGTACGAAACAGGAAATGAGATAGTTTGAAAAAGTTTTGGAAAATTTAAGTTTCTTCACAAAAAAATAAATTATAATTGATCATAAGTTTCTATAATGGGTTATATTGGTTAGAAAATATTTTGATTTCATAATTCATGTTTATTGAATTATAATCGATTTTAATCAGTACAATGGAAAATTTTGATTTAAAATTAAAAATAATACAATTTTAATCCGTTTTTGATGGATTATAATCGATTACTTGCGTAACTTCATAGATACTGGCTATTAAATGACAATATAATCGATTATTATCCATGGAAATCCGGGTTTCTCTAACTAAACTTAAAAACATGCATCAAGAAATTTAATTAAAAAATTTAATCATTCAAAAAATTCGTTTGCTTCACACATTGTTTAAGTTCCTAATTTTGGTGTTTTCATCTGCCTTGACACCTTCTATTTGCCAGGTTCATGACATAATGGACAAACACGGTGAATTTTTAACTTTGTTTATCTTGCGCATGATGAAGTGTTCAGGCACAAATGGACTGACTTATAATTTATACAGCAAAAACGAAATAACAACAAAGATAACCGGTTACTATGCAAGTAGCACAGAATGTTCTGACCATAGTCATAAAAAATCCGAATTTTTTGTCAAATTAGTGTCGTTTTTTCTGCAAGATGTGATAAAAGGATCTGAATAGTTTTTTCTGCAAGATGGTATAAAAATATCCGAATAAAAAAAGTGTTAGACATGCTTGACGATCATAGCAAAACAGGCATTTTGAAAAAATGGTTTTCGTAGAAAAATTGCTAGAAAAACGAAAAGAATGGATTAAAAAACGTTTTTGTAAATTTTCAAAAAAATATATTTTGAAAATTTTCAATTTTTGTTTGTGAAATTCTTGATCTTTTTGATATCTAATAGGGCCTTATAAACTCCAAAAACTAAGTATACTTGAGTAATACTAAATTTTCAAGGCTTAAATAAAGCTTAATGAAGCTTATGTAAGCCTGCTCATTCGCTCGAAATTAGTCAAAAATCAAAAGTTTCAAATAGGTTTTTCTGGACACCAAAAAAATGTGGCGATTTTTTTAGTGTAGTTCAAATCACTACTAAAAGGCTCTAATACAATACTTTACTCAACCCAGTCCAGTGATTACTTCTGGTACCTGATTTTGCCTGGAAAAAAATAAAAAAGAAAAAAATTAAAACACACCCGAATACAAAGTTTCTCCCTACTTTCAATAGTCTGAACAAAAACAAAATAGAGCAAGTTTTAATAACTTCGCAGCAAAATTTAATAACTTCAAGTTAGCTAATTTACACCATTTTCTTCCAAAACTGGAAGTAATTAACGACACATTTGAGCTCAATCTGGCTTGTTTTTTCTTCCAATTTTTTCAACCAGACGAAAATTTATTCCAGATTTATTATATCGCCCGAAAAAGGCAATGCTCTGATCTCAAATATCAATTAATTTGTACTTTCTGTGAATATTTGGAGCATGAAAATTGCATATTTGGTTTTTGCTCTACAAAAATTTTAGTGGCCAGCTAATTCCGCTCTGATCAGGGGTAGATTTAGGGGTGAGGGGGGCGTGTTCAGACTATGGCGTGTTCCCCATTTGTACTACTTTGTGACATTGGACGACTGACCTTAAAATTTTACCTGAATGATTTTTTGTGGATTTTTGTTTCTTGCCTTTTCACGCAACCTTTTCATGCAATAGGGGGGGGGGGGGAATAGTTAACAAGGTTTGGATGAAATTTATTGAGATAACGTCAACCAATAGGAATGTGAATTGAAATAACGTCAACCAATAGGAATGCGAATTGAAATAACGTCAACCAATAGGAATGCGGCAGAACACATTTCTGAGAAATACAAAACCAATCCAGTTGAGCATAAATGAAATGTGTTTTTATAGGGGGGAGATTTTTTACACGGTACCATAGGGGTGGGGGGGGGGGGTAGTTAACATGATCCATGCAGCCTACCAACTCGATAGTAATTATTTTTGAGGACCTTGATAGAGATATGAGTCTAAATAACACGTTAGTTCATCAATGGAAAAGTTGGTCAAATCACTGAAGATGAGTCGCCAGAACTGCATCATCGAGTTAGGTGCAGCGGTTGTTCGTTGGCTGCAGAATTCCATTTTCCAGAATTTTTTGCATTTTTTTGTTGGAAACAAAAAGATTATGAATTATTTTATGCAAATATCTGATAAATCAATACAGACTAGATTTTCTTCAAGATTTAAGCCAAGGCAGTTCAATTACCTGAAAAATCAACAAATAAATCAAACAAGTCATGGTTTTCACAAAAATTTTTTAAAGTTTTTTCTGATTAAAAAAACAAAATTCTCTTTATCTGCTTTTATATGATTTTTGGAAATTATGCATTCATGTTTTGAAAGTTTAAAAAGTAGCCATTGTGATGCAACATTGTTCAGAAATCACTGTTTTTTGTTTCGTTTCAGTGATCAAGCATAACTTTTTCTTTAAACTAGCGCATAAACATCTGCTGCATAAAGGATATGGGGATATAGTAATGGGGGCCTAGGAAATTAGACGACAACAAATTAGACGACCGAAAGTAAAGGGAATTTACGGACAACCAGTGTTTACGCAGCCAAAAATTAATTTAAGTCTATAAACAAAATTTACGCAAGTTATTGTCTAAGTTTTGTTATTTTCTGATCGTCTAATTTGCTTGTCGTCTAATTTCCTAAACCCCATAGTAATGAGTTAAATTTCTATCATATAAATTACAGCTTCCGAAGTATTTTTAACTAGACAGAGTATTTTTGCATAGCACCAATTTTTTGCTAATTAATATTTGAAACCAAGTTTACCAAATGATCAACTTCTGTAAACTTTTCAAATTTAGCAAAATAGTTGTTCCCTTTTTGTTCATAATACTTTTAACATATCGCGAGCATATCTGTAGAACTAATTCTGAGTATATAAGTTGGGACTCTAACGTCCAAAAACGATTTCCAACTGCAATCATAATCGGATCTCAAAAATGTGGCACTAGTGTTCTACTTCATTACTTGTCTTTTCACCCTTCAATTGCGAGCAATAAGTATTTGGAAACCCATTTTTTCGACTCAGTTCAAAACAATTCAATTACTGGATATAATTCTTATCTTCGAAAAGTTCCATTTTCAAAGAAAGGTCAAATCACTCTTGAGAAATCGCCAAACTACTTTTACCGGCCAGAAGTTCCACAATTAGTTCACGATTATCAGAAATATCTTCAAGTCAAATTGAAGTTTATCATAGTTGTTCGACAGCCTCTTAGAAGAGCAGTTTCACATGCATTTCATAGTGAAAGACATGGAAAGTTAAAAATTACAAATTTGACAGAAGTTCTGCTGGAACCAAAAAACCATTATGTCAGAACTTCTCTTTATGGAAAAAATTTGAAATCCTGGTTAAATTTTTTTTCACCAGATCAATTTTTGATCTTAGACGGAGAGAAATTAGCTCGTGAGAACCCAGTTAAAACATTGCAGCCAGTTGAGAAGTTTCTAAATATTCCAACTTATTTTACGGAATTTGACTTTTTCATCAACACAAACAAAGGATTTTACTGCTACAGATATTTATTATTTTGCTTTCCTACTAAAACAGGCCACAAAAAGTACCCTCAAAACGTTACAGAAAACGGGATTCAATTTTTGAATTCAGTTTTTGCAGAAGATCTCAACTTATTTTCCCAACTTTCCGGATACTACTTCGACTGGATGCAAAATTGAATGAAAATCAGAATAGTTGTCAATAATGTCAAAACCAAAATATTTTAGTGCAGTCTTGACAAAAAATAAACTGAGTTTGAACTTTTTGATGTCCTTTGAAGTTGAATAAATTCATGTTTGCTGACAAATAATGAAATTAATTATCAAATTGGAGTTATATTTGTCCGTTATTTTTTAAATATGTACATAATTTTGTTAAAAAACGGTTCTAGTTTATGTTTCAATAATCTTCCAATATGCTTTCTTCCGCTTCGGTTTTCTAATATTTTTTCATTCAACGTTAGAATTGACTCCCTGGCCATCTTATCGGTCAATTTTGAGTCAGAAATGTTCTGCAACTTTTTGCGTAAGTATAATTTTGTTTTTGTCACAGTTTTTTTTTAAAAAACGTTATTTCACAAGTCCTCTTTATAGAAGATCTTAAGTATCAACACTAAAAGTCTGTTGATATCACATCAAAAATTATTTAATTGGGATTTGAATTTGATAATAAAATTCTTAAATTTTCTGCGTCGAAAAAAACAGATGCGTGTTATGCCATTTTTCAGGTTTTTTTTACCAGTAGGGGAGTGAATTAAAGTATATGCCAAACTGACTTGTATCAAACAACTTTCCTATTTAAACTATCAATTTTTAATTTTCATTCAGTTTTTTCCTAAACTTTTTCTAGGCTACCACTTTTTTATTATTGTGTCGAAAAAAACCTTTTCAATATGAAATTAGACATGGTAATTGATCCAATTTTTGAGCTATTACTCTTAAGCTAAATCACTCTCATTATGAGAAAAATTAGAATAAAGTTTTTTACATCTTGCAGTCTTGTAGAAAGCAATCAAGAAGTTTCTTTCTGCATGAAAATAGCTCTCGTGCTCCAGTATGAAATTTTTTTTTGTTGTTTTAGCATTTCTTTTTGGTTTCTTAGCCCGTCCCAGAAATTATACATTATCCAAATAAACAACGTTTTTCATGCGAAAAGACTTAATTTGGTCGACCAAAATGATTTTTGGGCTATTCCAGAATACTATAACACAAATTTTTGGGGCATTTTTGGGCCGTTTTTGGGCAATTTTTTGTAATTATCGAATAAAAAATCACGTTTTTTCTACGCGTGCTCTCCTTCATAGTTCGTATATTTTGGCGCCAAAGGCACTTTATACAAAATTTTGGGCTCGTCAGCCAAAAAGGATAACTCAAAATAGTACAAAGGGGGGGCATTCGCCCTTCAAAAAAAATTTGAAAACATTAATTAAAAAAATTAAAAACTCAAAATAATGGGAAAAAAACGTAGTTTTGTGAGGTTTTTGTTTGCATACTTTTCTCAGCGCTGAGTATCATTTTGAGTAAACCAAGTTTTCGTACCTCAATTCAGTTTTAAAATATTTATGAGCGGATTAAACATCTACTTACGCGCTAATAGCTTGGAATAATTCGCGCTTTCTAGTCCTAATTTAGTCAAATTGACATTTTTCAAACCAGCATAATTATTTGAAAAATGGTCACGGATAAAAAAATTCAAATTTGAGCTAAAGAAGTCAATACTTTCAAATGATTTAACATTTTAATTCGAAAATTGTTGAATAAAACGTCGAAATTGGTCCTGGAGATAAAACCAACCCAACCTCAAAAATTCCGTCATTTTCTTTGAAAATTAGAACACTAAATTAAATTTACCAAAAGGGTGCATGTATTCAACTCTGAACGTCTGATGGAAAGGAGCTGCAGAGGAACCGTAGCAGTCACAGGCAAGAACAGACAAGACTGCTTGTATTAGGGCAAAATCCTGAATGTACTGACTGCAATTTTACGCAAGTTTCTTTTTTATATATATTTTTCTTTCTCATTAAGAAGCATTCGCTCTGCAATGTACAAAGTGATATATTTGACGTCTGGTACAAAATTAATAAGAGCAAATCAGTAGCATCAGTTGAGTTTGCAATGATTTATTTTGTCGCTGACGCTTTAACAGGATGAATCATTTTGCGCGATAGTTGTTCCAGATTTGACAAATAGTTTCTACATGAAACCTCTCACAGATTCATAATAAATTGTGCTGTCGAAGTTTCTAAGACTTTGGGCCGAAAAAAAAATAATTATTTTTTTTCAGTCCATTTGAATAAACTGAGTGGATAAATTCCAAATGAAAAATCTTTTCTGTTGTAAAACCATACTTAGCCCAAAAATTCAGTCAAAATCTTTGAAGGCCGGAAGAAAAAATCTGAAGTATAGATGTCCAGCTAGAAGGCTGGAGAAATTGTTGAAAGCCAATGAAATAACTTTAGAAATTTGAATAAAAATTTTGAATACAATGCTGGCTTAAATTATCTAACCAAAATGAATAAAATTTCAAATTTAAAACGCCTTTTTCTCCAATTGGGTTGATTTTTGGTGAAAAATGACCAAAAATCAAAAAAAGAATTTTAGCAGAAATAGTCTGATGCAATTCGTTTTGTGAAACTCGAGCTCAAAAAACTATCCCTAAAATTGGTCGCTTTTGGCTCTTTCTAGTTAATTATTAAATATTTATGACGAAATTTTGATCCAGTTCGTTCAGAAACATGATACGTATTGTTCTTCCAGAAATAAAATTTTAGATACAAACAGCTTGCGATAACACATAATAAAAAAGGCAGCAAAAGTTTATGCTATTTCTCTATATGCTATTTTATACGGCTTCTGAATTTGTACATATGATTATAATTATTATTCCACATTTTTGTTTGAAAATTTTGTTGGCTTTACTGGAGACTGCAAGCAGCCCAAATTATTGACTCTTAAATCCTCTGTTTCAATTTGAAAAACTGATTTACAATTTGGCATTTCTGATCATTATACAATACTCATTACGTTATTATTTTGGCAATAAAAGCCATAATTTTAACTTTCGTGCAAATTTCATGTATAAAGCACTTTAAATATGGTTTTCGCTCCCTGCTTTCGCAATTTGCCCGGAAAATTTGACGGTTCAGTATCAGTACTTATCTTTTCGTTTCAGAATAAAAAATTATACAAATTTGCGATGAAATAAAGACCTCTTTAACTCTTTCCCTTTTCGTGCCTATTAGCAAATTAAACTATAATGAAAGTTTTGATTTGAAATGAAACAAGATTCTTCATATCAGGGCAAAGCCCTGAGTGTTCTCACTGCCTTTTAAGGTTTATGGAGCAGTAATTACATAAATATCAATAACATATTAAATTTAATAAAATAAAATGAAAAATTTTTTCTATGAAAACCATCCCCCACAATAAAGTACAAAAGAATAGATTTTGCTCCTATTAACTAATCAGTTATGGCAAATAAGCTTCCTTGAACCAATTTGGAAGGATTTTTAAGATGAACAAGACTACTCGTATCAGGGCGAAGCCCTGAAAGTTCCGACTGCTTTTTAAGGTTTATGGGGCAGTAATAACATTAAAAAGTTAAATGTGAAAAAAAAATGATTTTTTTTTTTGAAATTTGAATTTTTTTATGAAAATCATCCCCCCACACCCCATATAAAGTTTAAAAGATCGATTTTGCTCCTTGTAACAAATTAATTATGGCAAATAAGCTTCTTTCAACCAATTTGGAACGATATCGCGCGTTAATTGTCCCAAATTGGCCAAAATGCCAATCTTTAAACCCCCATAACTTGACAAAAAACGATCACAGGTGAAATAGTTTTTCAAATTAGAGCTCAGGACATTAATACCTTTCGAATGATATAAAAAAAATTCCATCAAAAATGGCTAGTTAAAAAGTCGAAATTTGTCTGAAGAAAAAAAACCCACCCAGCACAAATGTTCCGTTACTTTCGTATCGAAAGTCGGAACCATTAAATCTCCGCTGACGCGTTAATAGCGCGAAATATATCGCGCGTTAATTGTCCCAAATTGGCCAAAATGGCAATCTTTAAACCCCCATAACTTTACGAAAAATGATCACAGGTAAAATATATCTTTTCAAATTTAGGCTCAGGACAACAATCCCTTTGAATGATATTTTAAAAATTCCGTCAAAAATGGCTAGTTAGAAAGTCGAAATTTGTCTGAAGAAAAAAAACCCACCCCGAGCACAAATTTTCCGTTACTTTCGTATCGAAAGTCGGAACAATAATTCAACAGTTTAGTATAAATGAATTTTGAACTTCAAAATAGTTACAAAGTAGAATAGAAATCAATTACCACAAACTATCTAGAAATTACTGTTTTCTCTATTATTCTACAAGATGTTTTTCCAATGAAACTGATTATCAAATTATCCAATTTTGACGTTGTTTTTTTTTCTCCTGACCATTGTTGAGTTTCAGCTAACAGTTTCTGACAGATTTCTCCGTACCATCTGACAGATTTAGAAGTCAGTAGCTCAAAATTCAAATCATACTTGTGATTTTTTAGGAGTATGGAATTTTGAAAAGTACCAATTTAGGTTGATTGCGCGCGTAAAATTTCCAGCTTTCTTTTAACGCTTATTTTGTACGCGTCGAAGTAATCTTGTGCAGAAAAGAGTACTGATTTAAGTGAGGGATGCCAATTGATTCAAGTTCATTGGGCGCAAATATATCTCATCGTTGAATTTACATGGTTGGAGTTTGTTTCCTATCATAGAAGAAAAAAATTATAAAAAGTTTTCGATGCAAAAATACTGAAAATGTTTCAGACACAGAAGGCAGGAAGAACATTGTTTTTTGTTTTTTGCGTTTTGTTTTTTTTTTGTTTTCTTCGTAAAGCAATATATCATTTTTCATTGAGGTTGCCTTGCTGTTAAACACTTTTAACTTTTTGAGAACAATTTTGCTCTGACTATTGCGACTATTGAAAAGGGAGCAAATTTCGTCTTCAAGCTGTTTCATTTTTTTTGCTTTCACGGCGTAATCAGTTACCGCAAACAATCATCAGAATGGGTCAAACGATATATCATTTCATTAGTCGTAGTTTGAAAAGACCTTAATTTGAAATCGTCTCAAAGCTTTCCCAGTTTGGAGAAAAGCCGGTTTGATATTTTTGAGTTTTAGTGTAATCTCAAGCGAGTAATGCGAGCAATTAAATAAGTCTTATACAAAAAGTTTTTCCTTCAAACAAAGAAAAACTTAATTTTGCATAGAAGCGTTTCTCTGGCAAATTTTTTTAAAATCAAAACGTTTTTTGCTAGAAAGTTACAAACTATCACCGACAAATTTTTTTTGGAGTTTTTTTGCATTTTAAGGTTTTTATTCTTTTTTTTTCAAAAAAATTTTATCAATCAGGCATAATTC